CTTACTCTTTCCCACCATCTCTTGCTACCATCCTACAGGTGATCCAGGAGAGCAGAATGGTAATGATGGTAATGCGTGACCTCTGGCTGCCTTACAATATTCCCACACCTGTCCACAGAAACTAGCCCTGTCATTTAGTTTCACATACCACATTGTGCGATATTCCTTAACAGGGTGAGACAATTCTGAAAGTTCACTTCCTCTGTACTATAATTTATCAGTCAGATCAGAGTCCATTCCTCATGGAGAAAACCACCTTTAAAAGCCAATTACCAAATATCAACACCAACTCAAGTCCCAGCCAAGCTGCCTTACAGCCCACACGGCCCGGCATCCTCCCTGCGCACCGCCCATGAATGTAGACCCACAGAGCATCAGAAGGCTGATAATATCTGAGACACGGTGGAGATCACTCAACCTACAGGGAGGGCTCTCCTGAAACAGCCTTTCAAAGCCACAAGAAAATTCAATTGGCTGCAATTGGATTGCTTAACTCTAGTCACCCAAGCAAGAGGTTACATCCTTAAACAATCTTGCCATGGATTTGCAGGTGGACAAGCGTGGAGAGATTCAATTTAGTTTTTTCTTTGAACATGGGTGCTCAGAGAAAACAATGGCCTTTGAGAAGCTCAGACAGTGGGCCTTGTCTCCCACTGGCAATGTGAACTTTAAAAAAATTAAACTATGCTTTGCCGTGGCATTTTTTTTTAAGTTGCCTTTAACCGTCAGATTTCAAGTAATTGATGGCCTTTAGAAAAGCCTCTATTAAAGGAATATGTCTTTTGCCACCTGGAACGAAACAATTTTGCTAACTGGAAGTGCAGTGATCAATCTTGGAGGAGGCCCGGGGCTTTTATTGTCTGGCCAACAGCAAGTGTCAACCAGTGGAAGAATTTAGGCATGCAGTTATGGGTGCTAACAAGAAAGGCTGCTCCAATAATCTTTTTTTAAAGGAAAAAGCGATCCCATTAACTCTCTCTGGTTCCTCTTTCCACACAGGTTGGTGGGTGTGGGTGAAAGGGCAGGAGAAATGACTACTGGTGAAGTCATAGGATGGAGAAATCTGAAATGACCAGCTCTCCAGCATACACATCTAGGCAGAAGAGACGGGCTCAGATTCTTTTAAGGATCTAAATGTATCTCTGCCTGAAGCTTACGGCTGTTTGAGAAGAGCAAGAATCCACGGTGAAACAAAGCAACACGGACTGCTGGTACAAGATATCAAACATCTAAGTCTGCCGGTAAGCACAGACTCTGATGGACTGGAAAGTCACCCAGCCCAGAGGCCTGGCCTGGCTACCGAGCGCGGGCTCAGCCCAGGAAGGCAAGGACACAATAGACCACACATCCGCTTCTCATCCCACCCCACATCACTTCCAAGGCCACAGCAAGCAGCCAACACACCTGCGGGGTCTTTCATTTAGTTTTGTTTCTTCGTGAAGTGTGAGGGAAATGAGTTTGGGCCCAACAGAAATTGGGGCGTAGGGAGGGCCCGGGGTGGGCGGGGATGCAAACGAGAGAAGAGAAGTGAATTCTTTAAAAGTCTAGATCCGTAGTCTCGTTTATTATTCTAAAAGGAACAGAAGCGTTCTCATTCCGCTCCTCCTTCTTTAACCCTTACCAACCCAGCCCAAGACAAGGAGGAAAGCAGGGCTCTAGTCTAGAGGGTTCGCCGGGGTGCAGATCCTCCCTGCGCAACGTTTAGCAGAGGGAGGAAGGGCTGGAAGTGTCCTCCCAACACACACGCGCGCGCGCACGCACACACACACACACACACACACAGCCGGCCACGCCTCACCTTCTCGATCGTCTGGTCCACGGCCTTCTGGAAGACTCTGGCCACCAGCAGCGTGACACTGGTCACCAGCAGAAGCAGAGACAGCGTCCCCACCACGTAGAAGCAGCACCTGCCCATCCCGCGCACCGCTCACGGGCCCGGCGGCCGGCGACTGGACGGGAAGCAGGGAGGGAGGGAGGCGCCGCCGCAACCGCCGCAGTAGCGACCGGGAGACCCGGGACCCTCGGGCGCCTGCGGCCCGGCCGATGCGCCTGGCCCCCGGCTCCGCGGCCGGGCAAGCGCTGCCCCACTGCCCCCGGCCGGCCGATGGGGAGTGGAAGGCCCGCTTTGGTTTCGCTTTCCCTGGTCGGGGCAGCCGCGACGCCCTTGTGGCGCAGCTCGCGAGGGAATGGGAGCGCGCAGGGCGGGGACGCTCGCCGGCCGGGCTCTCCGCAGCCCCGGGAGGCGACAGCCGGCAACTGCGCGGGGAAGCGGGCGGGGCGGAGGCTGAGCCCGCAGTCATGTGCCCCGCAGCGGCTGCCGCGATTCGGCCCGCGCGACCCGCGGCCAGTCCGGGCGGCCTCCCGGCGCCAGCGGCTCCCTGATCCCCGCCCGGCAGCGCCCCCCGCCCCCTCGTCGCAGGCCCCGCGGCCACCCCGGAAAGTCGCCTGCCCTCCCCGGCTCTACCCCCTCCTCAGATACGAGCTGCGGGCCAAGCACGGGGGATTCAGGATGGATACGACACTGCGCCTGCTCTAGACGAGCTCACATGTTAGCGGGGACACTGTGAACCGCAATTAAGGCGCAATGTAACATTGACGAGGTGCGTGCTGAGATCTGTGCCTACCACACCTCTGCCCCGGCGACCTAGGACCTCACAGTTGAACTGGGCCTTGGGGGATGGGTAAGGGTTTGTCACGTGAGGGGTGTGTGCAAGGGAGGGAAGAAGCATTTGGAGAAGAAAAAGCTGTGTTCAGACACTGGGGGTGAGAAAGCAAGATTGTAGGAGGAAAGAAGTTACTTTTGACCCTAGGCTCAGGTGTGCAGTGTAGGATGAGAGGTGTGGAGGCCCCTTGGGGTCAGACTTTCAAGGGCTCTTGTGTCCCATAGGAGAGTTGAGACTTTATCCCTGCTCAGTGGGGTCAGCAAGAGACTTCAAGCAGGTGGCCCTGATGTTCTCATCTGCTTTGCTCACCAATATGTCCCAAGGCAGCCAGGCTAAAGTCCGCACTCAGCAGGGACTCAATAAGTATTAGTTGGATGAACATCAACTATATGCTAGGCCTTGGCTAGGTGCTTACACACACCTATTTAATACCCACAGCAGCCTTGTGGCTGTTTGTCCCAGTTGCCCCAAAGCAGTGCCAGATGGGAGCACTGTGCCAGAGATTTATGAGGGCACTTGGACAGGCATCTGGACCTGGGATGCAGGTGTGGCCTTTGTGAAGGAGAGAGGTGAGGAGGGAAGGCTGAATGGAAGGAAGCATCTTATGCTACAGTGAAGCTCTAAGAAAGTTCAGCAAGGCCTTGGGGGATCCTAAGCCAAGCTGCCCTGTCCCAGGAGTCCAGCATCCCCCAGGAATAGGCTTCTTGTCATTAGGCATGGGCTGGCAGCAGCCCTAGGAAACTGGCCTCTGCACCAAGCTGGGGATGAGAATCAGAGGATAGATTTTAGGGCTTAGCAGCTGGGACAGGGCCATTGGTTAGCTATGCTCTACACTGCAAGTTCTGAAAGTATGTTTTCTTGGCCACTATGGTAGTATTATTCCCGTTTTGCACACAAGGAAACCGTGGCTCTGAGAGGTGAGTGACCTAACAAGCTCAACCAGTTGCTGAGTGGTGAATCCTGCCTCGACCAGAATGCAGGCCCGGTGACTTCCAAAGCCCTCACTTTTTCTACCCAGTGCATTGCTGCCTCCCAGCTGCCATCAGTGAGAATCTGGGAACAGGGAGTTCAGCTGGGAGACTTTGCTGACGACTTGGTGAGATGCTGTGATGCATTAAAAATGGTGGCAAATTCTTTGACACTCCTTCTATTGAGAGGTGGGGTCTATACCGTTTCCCTTGAGTTTGGGCTGGATTTAGGGATGGAAAGCACTAAATCACTACATCCTGGAACTTCTTAAGATAGATCATAAACACCTTGCAGCTTCTCTCTGGGCCTCTGGAAATGGTAGCTCTTGGTGCCCTGAGCCACCACTAAGCTCAGCTACCCTGAGGCCTCCATGCTGGAGAGAACAGGGGAGAGACCACAGGGAGATGCCCTGCCAGCCCCCTGCTGTCCCCAACCATTTAAGTCATGGGCCCCAGGCACGTGGAGCAGAGTGGTCTCTGCCTTGCCCTGCTTGAAATGCAAAATAAAGGACTATTGTTGTTTTAAGCCACTAGTTTTGGCATGTTACTAGGTTTTAGATAACTGGAGCAGACCGTGAGGGAAGGCCTGAGCCTGTGACTCTGGCAGTGACAGTGGCTGCCCAATCCCAGTTCTACCCATCTGTAGCTACCAAAGGTCTTCGAGCAGCAGTCCCAGAGAACCAGGCCTGGGTGGAATCTGGAATGACTCAGCTCCTCCAAACCTCACGGCCAGGATGCCTGGGTGGTCCGCAGTCCTCATGCCACCATCAGCAGCCTTTCCCTA